TTGATAATCAAAAGAGGATGTCAGTAGCATGGAGAAGTCATGTTATCAAATGCTATTTTTCCCAGTACTTTGTTTTTTACTATCAATTAAAGGCAGGAAAATTTCAGTACTTGACTGCTAACTGCACGGTTCATGGTTCAAACACACCCAAAGGCTTCACATGAGAAAGACTAGTGATCTGTTTCCATAAAGATTACAGCCTTGAAATCCCTATGGGCCAGATCTACTCTGTCACATGGGGTCACTATGAATTGAAAATTGATGGCACCTAACAATAACACAACAAAGAACACAGACACAGTCCAAAGCAGCCAGCCTCGGAGGAGTACCAGCTGGGTGCCACATCCATTCACCACCTCCTTCTCGTGGGCCACACTGTGAGAGCATTCTCTGCACAGTTCAAGCTGATCTTGGTTCATTTTATCCTTAGCTCAGCCAACATAACTATTCCTCACATCACCTTCCACCAAGCTTCTTGCACCTGATTTTTTACAGTAAAGGTGTATTTAATATTTATTATGGTTTTTATTAACGGCTAATATTTTATCATGACTGCTGCTATGTTTGTTACCACTCCAGTTACCAATTTGCCCAGGTTTTATGTGTGTGTCAGCTTCAACTCTATTTCTCTCATGTTTTTGTTGCTATTTGCTGTCAAGTTGATTCCAACTCATGGCAACCCCTTGTGTTACTGAGGAGAACTGCTCCATAGAGTTTTCTTCCCTGTAATCTTTCTGGAAGCAAATCACCAGGCCTTGTTCCAGAGAACCCCCAATGCGGGGAGGGGGGGGAGGCTCGAACTGTCAATCTTTAGATTAGCAGTAGAGTGCAAACCACTCGCACCTATCAAATGTGCAACTTTGCAAAACATTAGGATTTTCAGGAACATGCTTATTGCATTATAACAGAAATGCTTGTCTTTATTTTTTAGCTACCCACATAACCCTTATTAGGTCATTTCCCACTTAACTCTTATGAAAGCAAAACTCTTATTAGATCATTTCTTTCTAATTAGCCTCTTGGATTAAATGGTAGGTAATCCTCTCATCTACAAATAATTAAAATTTTCTGTCCTCATTTCTAATGTTTATACCTCTTGGAGATCAAGTTTTCCATTGGTTTGCATTATATTTGCAAAGTTACATCTGCATGGGAAAATGAAATAGAACGGCAAATATAATACTTGAAACAGTAGCATATTCCCAACTGCAATCTAAATGCTGCAATCATTTTAAGTCATTTGTGACAACTGGCACCAGACCAAGGGAGTAGTTTCACTCCAATCCCCTACAAGCTGCTAAAATGTCCCTCAAAGCCTTGGGTTGCCTGGGTGTAAGACTAGCCACCCAGAAAAATACATAAAGCTAGACCCACCATTGCCTATTCCAACCAGAGCTGATCTCCTAGCACAAGCTGCCACGTTGACATGCATACCCAGAATGCATTGCAACTGCATGTAGACAGATTCATAAATGAACAATAATATGGAGAATGAATTATAGGTCATTGAAGACTCCTGGATGTAGTTAGAAATTCAAGAATCCAGAGTTTTTTCTACATCTAAGTGGTTTATAGTTTTTAAAATATACCCAAACTAAGTAAGTTTTAGACTCTCCCTTATTTCACCTGAGAGTGTGAATCCTTATTAAATTGGAACTTTTTACAGTGGTGGAAACCTGCAGCTTAAAGGAAAAAATTGCATGAAATACTTACAAAGAGACATTCTGCTTGAGTTATTTTTATCAGCAAATTTATTTTAATTATTTGCTCCAGCTCATTTTTCCAAGGCTGGAGATGTTACAAGTCGATGGCCAACCTATGGATTTGCTGTGGGCAGGTAAGGCTTGCATTCCCTTCCAATGAGGACAGAGGAAGAGGGCAGGGATCATAGGATCTTCTGTGGTTCAGTATTGCTCAGAAGGGCTGTCAATGACAGGCTGGCCACGGCTAGTACTATGACTAAGTGGGCATATATTCTTCCAAAAACAAATCCAACTATCCTATAAATCTGGGGGAAAAAAGTCCTTGAAATTGTTCTAAATGCCACTCTGTTCTATTGTTTCAAGAAATACTAACATTTGTTCATTTCCCTCATATAATATGAAAGCAAATACAACAAAAATGATATAGAGATAAGTATTTCATTGCTAACACTATATTAATTTCAATTATGTCTTACCCTTAGATTTTCATAATACTGTCACTTATATTCAGAAAAAGTAATGGTCTTTATTACTGATGTTTTCCATAATTATTTACACTTTTGAAAACACAGCTGAATTTTTATTACCATTTTAGAATGCGTACCTTTATCATTCAGTATAGAGCCCATTATACCAAGTTATACTAAGCACTGAATAAATATTTGTTAAATTGATTTATGTTAGCACTGTCCCTAGGGAAAAATTAAATAAAGGACCTACAA